GACTCATAGCAACCCTATAGGACAGAGTAGAACAGCCCCATAGGGTCTCCAAGGAGCACCTGGTGGATTCAAACTGCTGACCTTTTGGTTAGCAGCCAAACTCTTAACCACTACACCACCAGACATAGTATTTGTTATAGTAGAGGGTCTGAAAATACTTCGTAAGGCAGAGAAGGAAGATGTATGTTTCTGTTACGGGGTATTAGAAGAGGTTTCATAAAGGAAATAGTATCTGATCCAAAGCCAAAGATGGGGCAGGAACGCGAGGCCATAATAAAACCAACAAAATCACATCACAGGCTGCCTTTAGAGACCAGCAAGTAGTCCTACCTGGCTTGAGAATTGGGGAAGTGAAATAAAGTTAGATGTAGATCATGAAGCCCCCAGAATGCCATCAAAGGGACTTGGAATTCATCTTGAAGCCAGCTGAAAACCACTGAAGGGTTTTGAAACCAGAGGTAATAATCAAAACTGTGTCTTTGAGAGATTGTTCTGACACCCGTGTATAAGATAGACAAAAATATCAGCAGCCAGAAGACCAATATAGAAGCCATTGTTGCATTAGTCCAGGTGAGCCTGAACTGAGAGAGCAGAACCAAAGTAAATGGCAGTTCCATCAAAATAAAACAGGAAATAGAAACAAGGGAATGCATGTAAGAGGCACAGCAATGAGGGATGACTAGCACCTGGGGACTGATGTCAGCAGTGACAGAGGGAGGGAATGATGCTTGAGGTTTAATGTCTGTGTGCCCGTGAGGTTGATAATGTCCTTAAATAGAGAGAGGAAACAGGGAAGAATGAGGTTTGGGGAAAGACGGAAGATGATGTTTCATTTATCCAATAAATATTTATTGAGAATTTACCGTGTGCCTTGTGCTGTTGTAGGGGTACAAGATTGTTAGGTTTAAATTTTTAAAGTACTTTCTGTGCATGAGGCACTGTATCAATCAGTGTGACTCCAAAGGCAGAACTGGAGCCAGTGAGTAGGAGTCAGGTAGAAAGTAAAATATCTTTCTAATAAATGGAGGCTTCCTGGTAGGTAGTAAGAGCTCTGTGGCAGGCAGTATTCAAGCAGAAGGTGGCTGATATTCTTCCAGGAACATTGTGACAAGCAATTCCTGCATTAGGAGGGAGGTTCAGCTAACCTTTCCTCATGGTCTCTCCCAATCTTAAAAGTCTGTTGTTTCTGATGATCTAGTCCTATGAGTTCTATTATTAATCTCTTGTTTCTCTCAATTATTAAATAAATTATGCAGTCTGCCTGCCATTCAGTAAAACTCACACAATTACATCTGTTATTCTTGAATTATTTTTGGTTAAAGCTCTTCTTCTTTATTAAAAAAGTCTACCCAGTTTGTTACCTTTACAGCTAATTTAGAACGGTAACACTGGTAGATTGGGTTGTAAATATCAGAGGGGGAAAAGGATGTCTTTTGCCTAATAATATGTTTGTTTGGGGCGAAAAAAGAACCTGCAAACAAGAAATGAATTGTCTTGCCTTCGAGATAGTGATGCAGTTTCTGCATTTTGTAGTAATTCAAGGAAGAAAAATATATCTCAGAGAGGTTATTTTGATACAGCATGATAAAGAAAAAGAATATTCTCTAAACACTGTAAAGCTTTAGATCAGAAACATTTATTTATCTGTGTTGCATTAAAAAACATAAAAGAAAGAAAGAAAAAAAGAAGAAAGGAAAAGGAAAAAGGGAACCTGTAGTGAGCCGTGCTATAAGCTATAGTTAAAGCTTTGCATTTCCTGGTGTCTTTTGAAACGTAAAATTCCACAACAAATAGCTCTGTAATGTATAACCAGTATGAAGATTCAATTCAGATTTCAGCACTTTGGTTTGCTTTTGAATCTTGCTATTTTCTGCATTTGTTTTGACTGCTGTCATCATTCAAGATTGACGCTTGGATGGGTGTGTAGGAGGAAGCAGCAGCAGCAGGCTTACAGCTTGCAGACAAAAAAAATCTGCCTTATCTGATGGCTATTATTGAAAATGCGAGGTGTAGCCTGGGCTGGGTAATGAAGGGGAGCGAGCGAGGGGGAGCAAGGAGCACGGAGCTGCATACTGATGAGTGTAGGAGTACTTGATAAAAAGAATTCTGGCTGCTGGCCGTGCATTGCTCATTGTGGAGTACTCCAACAATCACACAGAACGCAGACCAGCCTAAGCTGACAGCTTGATATGCCTTCTTCTGCTGCCTGGTTTTGGGGGCTGTATGACGTACTGGTCGGTAGTAAAGATTAATATGTCAGAAATGTGGAGCTAGGATCAAGTCATACTCCACAGCCTGCCTGGCAAACTATGTTTTACTTCTGACTTTGCTCTCTCGCTGAGAACATTAATCTGTCAAGCTGGCGGGCTCCTTTGATAGCAACTTTCCAAGGAGCATGATGTGGCAATGCCACCTCTCAGCCCAGGACTATCGCTATTACCCTGTGGACGGCTACTCCCTGCTTAAACGCTTCCCTCTTCATCCTCTTACAGGACCCAGATGCCCTGTCCAAACAGTGGGACAATGGTTGGAAAGCATTGGGCTACCTCAGTACGAGAACCACCTGATGGCTAATGGATTTGACAATGTGCAGTTTATGGTAAGATGCTCTCTGTGTCCACGGAGCTGCCTTTTGTCTGTCTTTGCTTCTTATGTGTCTTACATGGCTCAGAGGCAGCCTGATTTGCACCAAAACTGGTCAGTTTTATATATGTATATATATATGTAACTGCATCAGAAAATCGGGTGTCTTTGGGACTGAACTTACTGTGTACATATGGACACTTGCTAAAAATGAGATCTGATCTGTGCGTATCCATATACATATGTATCATATGAATGAACTGGTGAGAGTACTATTTATAGGCAGTGAAAGAAGATTAGTATTTATATTCTCCCTGTCATTCTTTGTGTGATTTTTATAAATTTGTAATTTTAGAATACCCCAGTAGGTTTGTATCACTCTTCAACTAATTCTAGATTCTTAAAACGTGATGTTTACGGTGTGATCTTTTTTTTTCTGATAATTGTTCAATAAGCAGTTTAAATTGTGTTGGCCGACCTTCAGTTCATTAGCAAACTGCTTCAGATGGTCAGTTATAGAGAGCATTCACTTACACGTGCTGACTGAAGCGCAATAGGGATTTTTTATTACTTTAGGTTGAAAACAAACACTTCGTCTATTAGCTGTCCATGTTTAGAAAAAGAGGTTGATGGATTAAGTACATTTGTGGACTTCAGAATTCTGGTTTACATGCGATCTAAACTTGGTGCGTGCAAACTTCCCACCGTGATGAATATAGGTGAGGAAGGAGGATGGGGAGATGTGCAGACCGATTATACAGCTTTCTAATCATTTACATACCTCCCCCATGCTCATCAGTTTCCCTCATTAAGCTACGTCACAGCCCTTATTAACTTTGCTTGCTTTTAAGGTCCCATCACACATATAACTGATCCCTAAATTTAGAGAGACCTACAGAACATAGTCATGTAGCACAGAAATGGCTTGTAGAAAAAATTAATGGTTGTTTCTAAATAAAGTAGTAGGTCTGACACCTGCAGCTTCTTAATACCAGAATTGATAACAAAATACTGAGAGCTACTCAGGTCTTTTTATTTCCAAGATTATTCTTCTTCAAGCTGGACTTGACTGTTGTAAATTGTAAGATTATTAAAATTGTTAAACTTCTGCCTCTTCTCCAAAAAATGTGTATGCCAGAGAGCTTAAAAAAAAAAAAAAAAAACCCTACATAAATGAAGTAAGACATGTGAGCTCTAAGTAATTGTGTATAGAGAGCCCTTTATAAATCTGTCCTTTTATAATGAGATATGCAGCTACTGTTTTTTTCTTGTGTGTTTATTGAGTACTGTCACTGTTTAGATAGATAAGATATTGTAAGCATTGAAACAGGAAAAAAGTGAAAGTTCTTTAATTGCTATGAGAGTCTTAGAACACTGAGCAGATTTAGGACATACTTAGGACACATAACAGATAACACTAAGAATTACAGGAATTATCAAACATGAAAGAGCCCTGGTGATGCAGTGGTTAAGCATATGACTTAACCGACAAGTCAGTGGTTCAAACCCTCTAGCCGCTCCGTGGGAGAAAGATGTGGCAATCTGCTTCTGTAAAGATTACAGCCTTGAAAACCCTATGGGACAGTTCTACTATGTCCTATAGGTTCCTTATGAGTCAGAACCAATTCGATGGCAATGGGTTTGATATTTGGTTTATCAAACATAATGAAAGTTTTTTCACCAATATTTATATTACTACACTTTTAGATAAGTCTTTATTCTTCTCATCTCTACTTAAAATAGGGCTTTCCCACTCCCACCCCCAAACCCTTGTCCACATTTATTGTGGTCCCATGAGAAGTTAGTTCTTTGGACTTCCTGGATAATTTGACTAGTCTGAAAGATTTAAATTCAGCATCATTTTCCTCTGAATGTTAAACACTTATGAGCAAATGTAATCCCTTTTTGAAAGCCTTGAATTGAGAGGTTAATCAAACAGTTTTCAAATAAGCATTTGGAGAGAGATTGTAAAAAAAAATTCATGAATGAATTATGTATAAACACTACAAAATCTATCTGGGGGACAAAAATCCTGGACATAGGTGACAAAACCAAGGTCTGATATTCTCCATAGATTATTCTTTTTATTTGTTAAATTTCAACTATTATATATAATTTTACAGAAAAGAAGAAAGCTGTTAATTCAGGCAGGTCAATCAAATACTTTCTTCATGAGACAGAATTAATTTTTTTTTAAAAACTTTGAATTATTATTCAGAAGAGTTCATTATGAAAAGGAGGCAAATCATAAAATAGTATCATTGATTTTTGCTTTCCATGTTGCTCTGCACCATTTGTTTGCTGCTAGTATCGTGAAAAATCAATTTCTACCTTTATAAAAAATATTTATTGATCTTCCATAATCTAATTTATTTAATTATGAACTTAGTTAAAGCACACTAATATGATTGACTCACTTTAAGAAACAGATTTCCTTCTAGTGATGAAAAAATCTGTTAGACCTGCTTAATCTCCATTAGGTATCATATTCTAGCTTTTGTTTTTCTTTAAGCACATTCTGACCTGCATTTATTCATCCCGTTGCCTAAGCAACAACCACCACACTCCTATTAACTATGATGTAGTGCAGGCTTTATTAGCGTTTTAAAACAAGACGGGAGACATCAAGAGGTTATAATTAATGTTGGTTGAAAAATCATATTACACATAGGCATAGATAAATTTTATTTAGGAAACATTTTCAAGAGTTAATTTTTTTTCAATTAATCAATTTCCCATTAATGAAGGTGGATTTAGAGGGTCCCTGTAAGTAACTTTCAAAGTAAAGTGCTTATTGAAAGAGTTAGCATATTTTTTTCTAAATCTGTTCTAGGTACTCTCACACATATGTACAATATATGGACGATGTTTTTCACATAGCTATGATTAACCTTGGTAAAGATGACTTTGATCATTTCTTAGATATAGTTAGGGAAAAAAAAGGACCTCCTTTTAAATATCTATGAATTATTGCTTCTCCTTCAGGCTTTTAATGCTTATCCTTAATTTTATAGGTGCCAGAATTATTTTTCAATTTCTTAAAATCAGAATTCAAAACTTCTTCTTTATGTATTTGGTTCTGATTTGCAGAATGGTTATGCAAACAGCTTGGGCCCTTCTGTTTCCTTGAAACTATAAAATAAACAGAAATTGGTACAAAGAATAGCTACCAAAGTACATTGGGTCACATTATACTTTAGGAAAGTTCCATCTATGTTCAATTCAGTGGTTTGAAATCAAAAGCCCCTTCAAAATAGAATCCTTTGAAGACTTTTGTAGGTCTCACGCTACCTGTTCATCCCCTCTGAAGTCATATATCAGCACCTCCCTCCTGGTTAGGCCGGTCTACCTGCTGCTCACTAGTCTCCGTGAATGTTGTCTGGGTTCTCTGGCATCCCATCTATTTCCCCCAGTTTGGAATAGATAGAATGTGTAAGTTTCAGCATTACTTTTTTTTTTTTTAACCAAGCAGTCAATTACCATACAAAGTATGCATAATTATCTACTTCCTTGTTATATTTGTTTCTGCCATCTTCCTTCATTTTCCAATCTGAGGACTGTTTCCTATATTTACAGTTTCAATCTATTTATTATTGTCTCAAAGACTTTGCTCAATTGTCCTCTCTCCCCTCTCCTCCTGGACAGCTCTTTCCTTCCTGTCCCTACTGTCTTTTATCAGTTCCTGTCTTGTTTACGTAACTTTCCTTGATGGCTACAGTCCATAGCAGCCTCTCTTTTCTCTGAACTCATGTAGTGGATACATTTGGAATGAAAAATTACCTTTGGCATGTCATTACTCACTCCTGAGAATTAGGAGTTAAGTTTTCACTCGGATATATGTTGTCTCCCTAACTAGACTGGAAGCTCTTCAAGCCCAAGTTCTGTGTTATCAATTTTCTTGCCTTTCTCACAACTCCTAGCACAAGGCTGTGTACATTGAAATCACCCTATGATTTCTGAAGACTGTTGTGTACGTACTTCCAGTCTCATTTTTGAACTAGAAGCCTCGTTTGGCCATGGGAACAGGAAGCGTTTCCTTCACTCATTCATTCAACAAACATTCCTTAAACCTTTTCTGTGTGTCAGGGACAGTGTTTAGTAGTAGGTATATAACAGTGAACAAGACACAGTCCGAGCTCTCAAGTAGGTACAGTATTTTTCTTAGCTTTATCATATTATTTGCATATACACATACACACGTGTACAATATCACAGGGATCTTCTCTTGCATCTTATTTTTCCATAGGATCAACATCCTTCAGTATATGAACTTACTAGCAATTGTTTTTCTAGCAACAAATTACAGTAGGCAATGGAAGAGGTAAAATCTATCATAGAGTGAAGTGAAGGAAGATAAAAATGCTGATAACATCAAAACACTGGAAGTGTTATGGTAGATTGACAGTCCAAAACTTGTATTAAGAAGTTTATATTATTTGGAGGAGGGCTGACTCATAGCTTCACCATCGTAAGTAATTGACAGTTAGATTGTAAACTGTAATCAAAAAGGGGGAAGAATAAAGTTTTGCCAACTTATTTTTTAGCAACTACCGTGTTTCTAGAGGGGGCCCTGGTGGTTCAGTGGTTAAGCGTTTGGCTGCTAACCAAAAGGTCGGCAGCTCTAAATCACCAGCTGCTTCTTGGAAGCCCTACGGGGCTGTCATACTCTGTCTTACAGGGTCACTGTGAGTTGGAATCAACTCAACGGTAATGGATTTAGTTTGGGTTTTG